TAGTCCATGGGTGACAGTGGCATTTTTAAGAAGGGAGGGTGCAATCCTCTAAAAATAGTACTTCCCCTCCCCCGGAAAATGACCGAAGCAAAAAAAATCAAACTCTTCCCCCTCCCATTTCCAGACTCCAAGATAACCACTGATGGGCCATGATGATATGGTTTATGGGCTTGCGCAAAGCGTATTCTTTATAAATTAGGTGTTAAGTATTATTAACATACTCAGCACTGCCGTTCATCAATCATTAAAGACTCTCATCAACATACGCTTTTATTAATATGGTCATCATCAAGTGGGGCTATCTTATAAGTGAGCCAGTATCCTGTTAATGTACAGCCCAATAGAGATTGCTGGATTATCAATATTTGACTTCAGATGCAAAATTCCCCTTTTAATTGCTGTGTCAGGAATCTCCTGAAATGAAAAGTTTGAGGGGGTCATTTATTGTGTAAGCAATAGGCTGGGATACTGTACTTTGGTTTTATTTTTTTTATTTATTTATATTTTGCGCATCCAACAGCAAGAAACTTGCCAATAACAGGTTTCATAAACCTCTCTTTATGAGGTTTAGGTAGTGGAGTTGTTTTTAGTTGTGAGAACAAATTCCTGCAGTGATAGGAATTGAATTCAGGACCCTTGGATTAGAAGGCTTATTTTTAATCTAATTTTTTATGGATTTGTCTAAATTTTTGACAGAGAAACAGTGCCCTCTGGATCTGTCACACCGAAGGCCTTGATATCAGTAGATCAAACACTGAAGTTTCATGATTACAGGTCTCCATCTAATGAAAGACCCATCCACTTAAAGAGTACCTCCAATTAAAGACCACTTTTCTGTGGTCCCAAATTAACAAATGTTTTTTATTTTTATTATTCTATTTAAAGAACAAAGCTGCTAAACACCATAAAAACCCCGATCCAAAAAGTACTATTCAATTGGAGGAAGACCTGTACTGTATTTAAATTTAAAAGTAATGATCTTCATTTGACAATAGGAGATACAGTTTTTTAAGTACTGTACAGGTCTCCCTATTAAAGACCCCACCTAAAGATAACCTCTAAGAAGACCATTTTCCTCTGGTCCCAAATTAACAAATTGTATATTTTATCTTGATTATTCTGATTAGAGACCAAAAAAAGAAACCCTGGACCCAGAAGTGGTCTTTAATTGGAGGGAGATTTGTTTTGTTTGGAAAATTGGAAAAAACTGTGTATCATATTCTCTAAAAATGCATGCGACATTTTTTTTTATTAAATAGAGAAAAAACAATGTATCTTATATAAGAAAAAGAAATTTTAGGTAACAATATTTATCTTGGTCATGCGTCGCCTGATCTTCTTAACCACTTCCGCTGCCCCATCTCAATATACACCATGTGACGTCATTTTGGATGACGTTAACTGCATCTCTTCAGGGAGTTACATTTATAAAAAAAAAAAGAGGTCTGAAATAACATGATCAAGCAATGAAAATTGGCAAACGTCAGCTACCTTCTATGAAATCTATTTTTAGACTTATTTAATTCCGATGACAATCAATTTCAGTGTAAATTTGTCTGAAACAAAGCTAAAGATAAAAATGATGTATTACTCATCATTGCAAGCAATGTGTTTAAATCTTTTTTTAAAACAAACATGCATAAACTAAAAAGTGATATATCAAGCAAGAGTCTATTATCAAAACTATAATGCTCTGTCCACATTTATGAAGTTTTATGACACAAATATTTGTTGTTGCCCATATATAGAAATGATATGATATCATTCTCATAAGTGTGATTAGACATCATCATGCCCCGGAGTGATAAACAAAACTCACCAGTGTGAAAGCGTGCTAGGAATACGCACATGTTCTACAAACGCATATGTTTATGTACGCTTATGCTTTCGTTTTGTCGAACCTTAGCAAAAAGTCCATTGGGATAAAATCAATCATCCTCATCAGTTGTTTAGCCAGGATTTGCCAAGGACAAAAACTTGGTTGCACCCAGAGGACTAAAAAAAAAAACTGTAAAGTTTCTAATATTTTAAGTTATTTAGAGATGTTTGAGCATGTATATACGTCTGGGCATCTAGGGAAAAAACGTTCCGTCAGAGCATGCCCATATCCTCATAGGAAATAAATTCATTCTGGATTAACTAAAGGAAAGAAAATTCACAAATAAGTCTTACTCTGTTGAATTCGTCAAACTTGGAATCGCTGTTTACCGTGGCATTTGGTTTAGTGAGCAAAATTGTGAGTTTTAACTTTCCTTCTATCCTTTAAAATATGCAATTATTTATTGTTGTAATTAAACTTTTTTGCAGTATATATTGTCACCTTAATTAAATATAAAAGTTTTTTTCTTCACTTAATAATGTAGAATACAGTATGTTTTAAATATACTACACGTATAATCTTTGCATATAATTTCTTCTGTATGGGTTATTTTACCATCTGTAACTATGCAATCCTCATATAAGACGACCCCCAAGTTTGAGATGATATTTGGACTATTTTTGTATGTTGGGCACATACAACTTAAATGTTCATCACAATCTTATTTCCTCGCATTTAAAATTGTTAGTACTGTAGCTTCATTCCAGTAGTAAATTTGCGTGTTACTGACGATCCGCACAGACGAACATGGTTTAAAAATAAAAAAATTGTTTGTGTTTCACTTCTTTTGATCATAATTTGCTATTTTAAGCCTCGTCTTTTATGTGAGAATATATGTTATATAAATTGAATCCAAATTTGAGATAAAACAAATTTGTAATGTCTACAAATTTGGTATGATTAATACCATATATGCCAATTTGAGTAACATTGTTGCATTGTTCTCTTTTTAATAATGCTACTTGGTTTCGTTGATTGTTTGCGTTGGTTGGCTGGTTGATACAGAAGTATTTTGACCACAATTGAGGGATTGTCCTTTATTGGTTTATTCGCGTTAAATTTGATAGATTAAGAATAGAAAGAAGCAAATTGAGTTTGAGTATATTCTTCTATCAGTGCATGATGAGA